TATATATATGTTTATGTTGATGTTTATATCTGCAACTATTCGTTGTGATACCATAGACAGAGAAGTTCCGTATAGTGTTTTTTCTTCTAAATATACCTGTACTGGTTGTATTGTGGTACGTTACAAACAATCTTATATAGTACAATTGATCACATTAAAATTCGGTCGATCAATATTCAATTTATTGCTATGGTGATCAATATTCAATTGATCGCTGTGGTTCTCGATCGGAAGTACTGAGTGCGTTGACCGACTGTCAATTGTCATAGATGAGTTTGCGGGCGATCGTGCCGAGGGTTTGTAGGGGGTCGTCCTTTATCCACCCATTATTATGTATTACAAAATACGTTCACGTTCGATGGTATCATGAGATCGCATTTCTCTATGCGTTCCCAGTCCTATACGTCAGTATAACCTGAGCAAGACTACCAATCTTATTTATGATTTGAGCAGATAATGTCCACATGCGTGAACCAGGGTACCTTTCTACATTTTGCCGCGTCACCGGACTCGCGCACAATTGGCCACTCCTCGACATAGAAGACTGCCTCAAGTCTGGTGGGAGAAGACGAGATTATTTTTATGGATCAGATCTCTCATACAACGAGTTTGGTGTATGTTGCACTAACAACGGTCATGCATTTTGTATTGTTGTGCAGGAACTATCCAATCGGAGTACTCTTTGATCTATACGGGTCACCAGATATGCTGCCATGGAATATAACTGTCCACTTCCAGGTAAGTTCTATATATGTTGTTTGAGACGAACTTCGCGAGTTTGTGCATTTTTAGGAGTTTGCGCTCTCAAGCCGACGATTGCGCATTCGCTATGTGATCTGACATCTAGCTTGTAAATCTCATATTGCTAAAAGCTAAGTTGAACTACTACCCGCCCCTTGCCGATATCGAGGTTTATGACGGGGTGAAGGTAGATAGGATTTTTCTAGTGTCATATTAGTTGTGCTATATATATTTAATCGAGGAAATCATTTTGTGTTCGTCATCAGTCGTTGTCTAGCACTATTTGATTAGTTAGTTCTATTTCGACATCGACATCCATGCGCTGACTCGTGTATCGGACTTTCACCTGCGTGACGCTTCATTACTGCATTGAACAGTTATATTCTGAGAATGATATCTTTACTATGCTGCTCTGAGATGGATTCAGTGCGTTCATGTAGTGTATTGTATCCGATTTGTACCGCAAAAATAAATCTCAAGCCGTATTTGTTATGCATGTTGTTTTATTACATTATAATCATAATTAGGTCTACCCGGAGGACGACATTCTACACTGCGCTGAGAAGTCAGTAGTAGAAGAGCACATGCTATCGTGCCTGAAAGAGGCTGACTGCATACGAAATGGATCTGCAAAGAGGACACTCAATTTGCTCAAGAAGGATGTAAAACAACTGTGGGACGGGTTCAGATCGGGTATGTGTGCTTAGGGCCGTGCTAGTACATATTGAACGTACAGCCAATCGTTCAGCTGAATAATTGGGTTGGGTCTAGTAACTTTGAGTGTTTCGGTGCTTGAGCTATGTTGAGCTCGTGTGAAAGTGTTGATGTCAACTGAATAAGCAAACAAACAGACACACGTCTCCGATAGTCCAAAGGAGAGAGGATAGGCATGACGAAATGTAGTACATGTCATACAGCTAGATGTAGTACGCCCCACCAATAGTTTCATGTGTGCTAGCGATCATATGTCGATACATACCTACAAGCTGGTTGTTTTGTATCTTCGGGAACAGTGCTGTTAGAACCGAGCTTAGCTGTGTGTTTTCCGTGTATTGCACTACAATCTGTATACTTCCGGTGTGTCGGTAAGCGTGTATATATGGCACCTGTATCGAACTACAAACTTTGTGCTCAAGTAGTGTGTCATTCTCTTGACACAGGGAACTATGAGAGGTACTGGCAAATAAACAAACGATTGGCGCCGCACGACGGCGAATCAGCAAAAAATATACCCTTTCGGATATACCGCAGGCAAGGAGGAGTCGTTATGGGACCCTTCAATCCAATAAATGAGCAAGGTACGTCGCCAAGTATTACCGACACGGAGAGTGCGGGGCGTCGGGTCTTGCGAGGATAAAGTAGGAGTTTTATATTTATACACTTGACTGCCGCGTAGTAAGGATAGGGAGTGTTTGTCCGTGTTAAGTTCATAGCCGTCTGTGCACTGTGGTACACCCGCATATGGTAGAAGGTAATTGCTTGATGAGATACCGCCACAGGACGGGTTGTGATGTTTAACTCTGGCAAGCTCATAGGGGTATCGAAGATTGAAGCATCGCATATTCGAGTGGTCTGGACTGTTGTTTGGGATTTTCAAGTAGTACTTCACTTTCACCAGGAAAACAAAGCAGTCGCTAAAAATGTTATTGTCTGTGTTCGTTTATGTTTATTCGCATATGTACTTGCACTCTATGAGTGCGCAACACTCATCGTCCGCTCTTTTCTATCTACTGCCTTCGAAATCACAGGGGAATTCCAAACGCTGGGTGATCTATTATCCACCTGTCTCCCCGATCTATATCCCCCCGCAACGTCGTATGCATCGGAAACAGATAATTTACAACACTCGTTAAAGCCAACGCCAATCGTAAGTATTGCGAGATCTCGGAAGTTTCTATAGAGTGTTAGACGAGCGTAAGAGGGAGTTGTTAGGTTTGTTTTCGATGGGATGGCACTGTTTTTGTATACGCGCAGAGATTTTATTGGTAGGGACGGATGTGTAAGGGTAGGATCTGTAGGGACGTGTGCTCATCTTCATCACATGCGTCCACGGGAAGATGTGTTTGGTAATATTGCGGTCTTCAGAATGCTAAAGTCTGTCGAAGGATGATTACTTGGTCCTTTACTGCCCCATCGAACTGTATAATTTATATATTGTGTGGTGTGTAGTATGCTATTGTGGGACGTGACTTTTGGTATGTTTCACGACGCACTTGGATAAGCGATTATGAGACTTAAATAGAACTTATACACTTTACCAAGTTATGTAATTATCGACGATAGTACTTCTCGACGTGGCAACGTTTGAGGTTATAAAATCATCAGGTAGTGTATGAACTAGTATAATTCAATTTGCATATGAACGCACGGATGTATAGTGTGAACAATTGACAATCTCGTACATGTAGATTGATCGGCGTCTGCCGACTTGCTCGTAGATTGCAAAGAACGTAGAACTGTCTAAATTCTTATGGCCTACGATTCCACAGGGGTATTTCGAACAAAGAAAATAAAGCTCTGACATATCGTGCTTCCAATGCGTGTGTTCCACCGCATGCCGACTATAGTGGATGACGCACACAACCTGAATTACAGATGGGTCTCATCGAGTCAGAAGTAGAATCAAAATGCACAGTGTGTAACCTCCGTTGGAGAACACAGATCAAAGACAGCGGCTTCTGCTCGTAAGCCCGAAATTTTAATACATCTGACTGTCACTGACTCACCACTGGCTTTTATTGCTTATATAATACAGGTGATAATCCAAGGCGTACAACCCTCCTTAGAGACCCCGGTACAATGGCTTAGCGATAGTTGCTCACATCCAGATAACTTCCTACACATAGTCATCCGGATGAGTGATGAAGAGGTGGAGATTGCGGACGATAGCGTCCAGCCTCCGATGTAAAATATCTAACTTTTAAAAGTAAATGATATTTAAAAATTCTAATTGTAATTATACGGCACTTTCAAACTATTAGTGGATTTTTTCGTCAACTTACTACCAGTGGTATGTATGTATGTGTGGACGTAGGTACATAGTGTACGCTCTGCAGGCCGTACTTTTCATCGACCTTCATGGGACAAAAACCCCGAATCCACTGAATGTAGCCACTCATATTTAAATTGTTCTGCCGTTAGGAGGGTCTTCTCATGATAGGTGTAATTTGGCATGGAAGAAGGAATTACAGCGTGCCAAAAACGGCGAGTCGGTATCATTCGCCGCTGTCGAGAGATCAAACAATGTTGGTGGGTCTACGTATTGCAGGAAACTGCACTCCATACCATAAAATCATGTTTATATTGCGACACAAACTACGTCCTTCTGAGCACTTTCGCATCAGCTGATAAACACGTGCGATGATAGTAACATGGAAATACTATTGGCTGACCTTTCACTCAAATAAGAAGTCAACCAGCTACCGTATAGTCTGAAGTTTCAGTGAGAACATTTCATCAGCTGACTTAGATCAGGATTGTCAGAGAAAAATTCAGCAATGTTCTTTCTTGCTTATGTGTGTATCTCCGCGCAATGTATTCGACTATGAATTATAATTGATCTTTATTTACCCATCACTTAGCTCTCGCATCTTTACGTCGATTGTCCATGGCAGTCAAAACTTTCTTGATCTGTACTAAGTTAGACTCATTATTGACGTCTTCGGGTATATCTTCGCTCGAATTCATGGGCACACCATTCCACAACCTCCAGTCCATCTTACTTTGCTTGCCCACTTTCGCCGAACAATGGAATTCTTCACATCCTGTCACATCCATGAATTCTTGCACATTGTTATCAGTGACGCCTCCTCCCGGCATGATTATGATCTTGTTGGCAGCTATGTTTTTGTTCAGATGTTGCAGCTTCTGCAAGCCCTCTCGCACAGATGACGCTCCCCCTGATGAAAGCACCCGGTCTACGCCCTGTACACGTTGAATTATTGCAATATGGTATGTTGATGAATTATATGTAATACACACACATACATCACGTGTTTGCAATGGAGTATGCCACGAGGGTTGAATGGATGGGCATAACCATATATATATATATATATATATCTATTAAATGCGCGAATGGCTAAAGTTTGCATACGTACAGCCTAAATATGTCACCCAAGACCCGTTGACTGTCTGAATATATACCATAGACAGCACTTTTAAGGACTACACACAACCATGCGATACGCCAGCATGTGGGTGTGGGAGTGTGAAAGTAGTCTTCATGGGCGTCCATTTCATCTATTGTACGTGTTCGTGGAGAGCCCGAACTATGTCATGTCGCAGCACAGATCGTTGTGAAACATTCTTCATAGAGTATCGCGGAACCGGGCTAACAAGCCTGACAGATACTCTTTTGCAACCAAAACTTCTAACGTAATGGAATCACAATACGTGGTTACTTAATGACCAGTATAGGTGAATAAACTGAAAACCACTACATGGTAGCGGCACCACTACCGTGACAATGTAATCGTATAAGTGATACAGTTAACCTTCCAGGTATATCGGATGATTCCACAGATGTAAAAATCATACCAGCTCAATGAGTGTATGCAGGGCAGTGTCGAGATTAGAGCACAGGTCAAAGGCGCGGTGGAAGGTGAAGGGAAGCGGTTTGGCCAACTTAATCAATTCGTGCGTCCGCGTGGCATCGATAGTGAAATCGCTTTTTAATACGCCACAGACAATACCGTCCACCCCCCATTCTTTGCAGAGCTTGATGTCCTCCTGAAAGTTTGTAGGGGAGTATGCGGCATGAATTGTAGCACTCTGTCTCTACAATCTTGGCTTAACTTAGTACTATGAAGCGGCTGCTATGGTTGAGAGTACCATCTCGCGTATAAACCAAGCATCGTATGTCGCAAAAGGGATCAGTGAAGCCATGCCAGTACTCTACGACAGAGCTGATACTCAACCTGACGAGAGGAAGAGGCCAGGACACTGCGCGCACCGAGAACAAACAACCCGTGCATGCTTGTTCTAGTGAATAGACTTTATATATACACTGCCCGGAACACGAGCACAGAACAACAGGTGTTTTCAACGGCGTCCTAGGTGTACCGCTCACTACTTTACTCTACAGTGTGCGGCCCACTTCCAGGAAATCGAAAGCATAACTAAGAGCTAAAGATTATTTAAAACTCTTTTACATGGTTATAAGCCGAGGAAAAGGACCTCGCATTTTGTCTAAATACGATACCTTACAGGTTTCAAACTCGACATCGCTATAGCAGAAGTCCCCGCCCCGTGGGCGTATCAGCACGTTCAGCAGTGTCGAGGTGAGGTGTTTCCTTGCCAAGCGCACTGTAGCTCCCGAAGGTGTTGTGCCGCCTTCCCATAGATTGTCGCACAACTGGCAAGAAACAGAGTTGAATTCCACGGAGGAGCTTAGATGTATTGTATTTGGGTCATGTTAAGCCACTACGATAGAAAGTATGGAATCCTGAATAAAAACCAATACATAAATATAGCTGAATAGCGGGAACTACACAAATGATACGGAGCACGTTGTCATTTCTGACATACCTCCACTCGGTATGCGTTGGCGGTCTGAGCATTGATCGCCGATTGTACCGAATTGGCGCATATTTCGAGGTGGGGCATGGCGATGGTAGCACAGGGATCGGTATGTTTACGTAATCTGACTTTTCCGGTTGCGCGAGCTTTGAGTCATAGTGAATGGTTGTGGAAGGAGGAAGAAAGTGAGATGGTGTATATGTGAGATCTTAATAAGAAGCGGTATAATGTGTATTGACGAGCAAAAGCATGTCTGTTGCGTGCATCAATCTAACATTTACGCGTACAGGAGTGTCCCGGATATAAATTACTGCTATCAAAGGCAATTTATCGACAGAATACTACAGACACGATCATTTGCGCAAAAGCACATGAACCGCCGAGAGAGTTTGCGGGGAACAATGATCACGAAGGTATCTCGACAAAGAAAATTGCGCACAGAAAATCTAACATTTACGC